TTAGGGGATGGTTGAATATCAAGAAATATATGTACAATATTAGATTAGCAATATTATACCATTGTCTGTAAGTTTGATCAAATTAAACCAGCATTTTTGTCTTGTCGGTACGTCTGTAGGATAACTACTAATTTGAACAGGGTTATCAGTTAACTTGTTAGATCTTGAATTGGCTTAATAATAATTATCCAAGCAAAAATTAAAAAAACATGTATATCCTAACTGTAACTGCTGGTATAAACTGCTTAGAATTTGGTATTATCGTTTGTAATTACACCTCCTACATTATAAAATTTGAGAAAATGTTTATAAACATATAATCAACTACATTACTTACATTTCTAATGGTCACTTACAAAAAGTCTTTTATTATTTATATTTATGTATATTTTTTTCAATTTTTGGTACAACTTAGAAATCCATCCAATGCCAATCCAGTGATTGGACGTCCGGTTATAATAGTAATATCCAATATATTTACTGTGATTCATTAATATGTAACATAGGAATATTGCCAACTGTTCTATACTAATGCAAAAAAATTCTTAATATTCTTATAATATTCAAATTCTTAGTATATTTTGTTATTGGTTTTATTTTAGGTCCATACATATAATTACATACCCATTCGCATGATTCATATATGTGAATCGATTTATGACCACTAACAATAAAGCTTCACTATGACCTATTTTTCGAACGCAAGTTTTCTAAATTATTTTTATGGCATAAATATTTTTTTTGTATTCTTACCTCTATGGTGGAAATAAATTTTTTGCATAGTTTTCCTGGTTTTGCTATGTATTTATACAGTTAGATATTTCCAACAATTTTAGTATAATTGTTGGTAAAATGCCAACATAATCCGTGTGCGCGTGTTTGAATATTGGCTCGTAACATCAGCCTGCACATTTTCATCTGCGCTCTGATTTTGTAAACAGCGTGGCGGCAAAAAATTAAATTTAGCAATTATGGCTAGATTTACATAATTATCAAAAATAATATAATTTTGTATCAAGGTGTCCAACTTCAATATAATCCAACATTGGCAAACAAAGGCCAATCTTTATCCAAAGATTTAAAAAAACAATTTTTGCTGTTTTTATAATAATTCAACATCTAGTTCAAGAATAACTTCATTGGAAAATGGATTGTTATCTATTTAGATATTCAGCTCTTCTGTAATTTGTACCAGACTTTTACCCAAGATTTTTAAAAAAAGTTGTTTTTATTAATTTTAAGTTTAGTTCAAAAATAACTTTATTGGAAAATTGATTTTGGTCTAACTAGATATCCAGTTCTACCGCAATCCAACATTGACTGGTATTAGACTTTACCCAAAGATTTCAAAATATTTGTAGTACTTAGTTTCATATTATGCTATGACAAATAGGATTATTCATTTTGAAAATTGGTTCTCATTAATTCTATTACTTTTGGTTATTGTGGTTGGTCGTAATCAAAAAATTTCTTACGAAAGACTCGGGTGCGTCATGTGAAAATTTCATCGTTCCACAGAGCGAATTCATAATCATCGAGTCGAGACAAAGTAACAACGCTGGTTGGGCCGTACGCAGAGAAGCGACGAAAAGACCTTCTCGTGTTCTTCATCAGTTAAGAGAGAGGAGCCTGCTTTGCTCTATTGGTGTATTTCTGTGCTTGAGTTATATCGGTGTGTTCCAAGCCGCGCCATGTGCTAGCCGCCTGCATATACCCGTATGATGTATAATACAAAGATATATATATAGGGGAGCATGCCTGCCTTGCCTTATTTTCAAACGAACCGTCCGCTTTTGCCGAGGGATCCCTCTTCGTTAAATATATTTTTGGTTAGGTTATTTCGTTCCTCCCTTTTTTTTCTCTCGTATTTCTCATCTACACACTGTTACCAGAGCCAGGCAGGAGTTCTGCAGGTAACAAATATCCTAACTGCAGAATTTTATACCTGCGTATCGAGAGAGGAAGCAAAAAATGGATTTTGCCGCCAAACCCAAAACTTAATCTCCGACGTTTTTCGAAGGTTTTGAATTTCGGAGAATGAAAATGTATTTTTTTTGTCAAGATTTTTGATAAGTTAATGGACGGCAGCTAATGTTTTTCTGGGAGGAAAGTTTTTCGGCTTGGTTGGATTGAAATAATGTAAAATGATTGGAAGATCAAAACCAAGATATAAATTAATGAATATGAGACTACTTAGCATTTTTATTAGTTTAGGAATGGTCCAATATTGTAAATGAAAATTCTATAATACGGTATGACCATATTAGACAGTACAGTAAGACCATAGTAGAACTTTGTCAAGACGATTATAAACTAGTGGGGCGCATGGCATCGTGCCTTAAGGCAAATTGCTGGAACTTCCCGTACCAAAAATTATTTTTTTTAAAAGATTAACATTTTTGAAAAAAAAATACTCTGAAAAAATTAGATTTATGAGAAACTATAAATTTTTGACAAAAACTTACTTTTTTTTGAAAAAAAAAAGACCTTTTGAAGAAATTTTTTTTTCAAAGCAATCGTACTGCTTTAACTGCATAGAGACAAAATATCGAAGCGTGTAAGCGCCGCGTCGCCGTCTAACGGACAAACACTGGTACGAAACCCATAGGAATGTAAACAAACTTTAAACTTATTGTAAAAATCTCTATATAATATATGTCTAATGATCATTTTTGACCGCCGAATGGCATTTTTTTTTACTTTTTTACTAGATCTTTGATCAGTTTTCATCTTGTTAATACAAGTAAAATATTTTTTGAATTATTCAAATCGGACGCTCCATTCTCTTAAAAACTGAGTTACCGTTTTTGGCACTTTTTGCCCCATATCTTCGGAACGGCTAGACCTGCCTTCGTCAAAAACTAATCAACATGTCTCCTCCATGAATCGAATGTTTTTTGAATCATTCAAATCGCTTCATCCGTGTTCCCAAAATCGTCGACGAAAATTTGTATCCGATGGGAAGTTAATGATATCATTTCTTGCATAATACGCCACTTTATGCATGTTGCAACATTTTGTCTCCATCCCGCATAATACACTTTCTTGCTTGACACGTATTTTTGAAACTCCTTCTGGAAAATAGTCTAAAAGGGGTTTTATCGTAATGTTTTTGCAGTTATTATGCACAAGTCATAGAGCAAATGCAGATTAGATTTTATTAATTTAGTAATAACACTATAGTTGTTCTCATTGTCTTATTGGTTTTTATATAAGATTATAATTAATTTTACAGTGCTTTAATTTTGGCTTATTTTAACCAGGTTAAGAGAATTTTCTATTATTCGATCAGCAAACTAAGAGATATTTACCAATCAAAAGTGTTTTTTTTTTTTAAACATTTTACTATAAAAAAATCTAAAAAAATGCTATTAATGATGAATAATATCAATCTATGTTAACGGTATGATTATGCAACGACATATTTCCCAACTTGTTGCAACAAGTTTTAAAGTTGTATTTTTTTTTGAAAATTTCAAGTGGTATTTCTCAGATATTTACTGATTTCAATGTTTCAAGTAATATCTGTTGAAAAATATTTGTCACAGTGCACAATTTCAAATAATATATTTAATTCTCCCCCAAAATTAGTAATCCAATATTATCAGAAATCATTTATTAGTTCAACTTCCATGTAAAACCGCAGCAATTGACCTTTCCGATGATCATCCTGGTTAGGACCAGGCTAACCTCGACGCTTAACGTCCTCTCCTGGCTGGATATCACTACGCGGTAACTTGCCGCGCAAGTTTACTGCGCAGCAACGCGTTCGCCGCGTTTTTTATAATTCTCGCAGCAAAACCGGGGACTCGAACCCGGCCATAGAAGAGTACCGTACAACGTTTCGACAGAGAAGCGAATATTCATCAGCTTATGCGCTATATATGGCGATATATAATATAATATATAAATTTGTACATGCAGCATGATGACGCTTTCATTAAATTTTGTTTCAAATATATAATGATGTTAGTTCGGATGATTAGTCGGTCTAGCGAAAATTATAAATGATTTTTTATTAAATCCAATTATAGGTAACTAAATTCCTAAACATATCATATTTTTTGCAAGGTAATAAATTTGTATACTTTGGGCTTTCCTGTCCCTCTGGTGCTTAATTTATTGCTTAAGAAATATGTAAATTTTAAATTTTTGTTCACATTTTTTTATCGTTATTTTCTATACCTCAGTCATACCAGAAGTATCTGATCACGTTCTGGACGTTCTGGACGTTCTGGTCTAAGGCATTACCTATAACTAATAATGTATTCAGGAACAATGTTTTTGGAACCAGGAAACTTATAGTTGTTAACAAATGAAGTCTTGATATTTGATTAGAAATTATATATTATTAATAAATTAATTTACTACTTCTGGATTCTGGATTCTGGAAAACTGTACTGGACTTATTGACGAAAATTTTGATATCAAAAGTATAAAACATAGTTTATTGGCATCAATTTGATTGTTTTTGGTTTCAGCATATAGGATGCTTCTGATGCTTCTATTTCAAATTAATATAAAACAAAATTTCTAAAGAAGTTAGTTTTAACTTTGTCTCAAGAAACAGACGCATTGTCATCATCAGTTCATGTTTCAATTACACATCCAGGCGATTTTATGGAAAAAAGTATTACTTGTCTTTGCTTTGGTATGCTAGCTTGTATAAAGTTTGGCATATTGTTTTGAAATCAGGTTGAAAATATTACGATTAGATTAGATTTTTGGACGTGAAACACAGTTTACTGATAAATCGCTTTTTGAAATGTTCAACGTATTTCAAATGCCGATAACGCATTCTCACAAGTTGCTGGCGAGTCTGAATTGCCGTTTAAGATTTAATATGTTCAAATGTCAGAAAATACACGAAACACATAGTACGTTTATTTAATCTAAACTTATAAATAATATATATTACTTAATATTAAAATAAACATTCACTTGTATCTAAACTTAATATACAAAAATATGATGTATTTAATAAAGTATTCCCTATTTCAGATGACTTTCTACGTATCAGAATGGAAACTAAGAACTCAATGAATACTCAAGTACATAAAACAATGAGATCTTGGAACTTTCAAACTGTTTAAGGTAAATATTATTAATTTAAATTTTTAATTTATGTATTGTACTTAGCATTTATCTTTTCAACTAGAATCGTATAAGATTACCAATGTACCTCATTATCTTATTGGAACATAGTCAGAATCCTATTAGACAACGAAAACCCTTAAGTTTATTAATAATTAATATAGATACCTAATTAACTTTATTGGAAAACTTTTTTCTATTTCACATGAATTACTTAATAGGTTTAATATTCATTATGAAAATTAATTTAATATTATTCAATATGGTTTTAAACTATTACCTGGTACTATGATACATACATACATATATACTTGCACTTGTATATAGAACGTGGCGCGTAAAAACCCCCTACTATTGCGAAAAGAGGGTTTTCCACCCCTGATCGCACTCCCCTGGCTTTATAAGGGATGAAAATAAGGGGTGGGGGCATTTATTAATCCCGACGTTGAACGAACCAGCGTATATATATATATATATATATATATATATATATACAGCATTATACCATTGGTTCTCAAATTTACAAGATTAATAACAAAGAAGTTAAAATAGAGTCAACAAAGTATTTTTTTATGACACTGCGATGTAAAGAACTAATAATATATTCAAGAGTAATGTTTGAAATTGGAATTTTTATAGTTGTTATTAGTTATTCTCAATTATTCAAGATAATAACTAGTTATTCAAGATATTCTCAAGTTAAATAAAAATATTTTTTGACTTTTTGACGAAAACTTTGATATTTGATATTGAAAAGGATATTGTTATTTGTGTAGTTCTAGTTATTATAGATTATTAATAAATTATTATCTTTTATCTTTTTGGGAAACATTGTACCTACAGTTAGTGAATAAACGTGGGAGTAACGCGAGCGTTGGAATAAATGTAAGTGCGGGGGTATATGTGTGTCTTTTCCCATGTGTGTGTGCGATGATGAATACGGGGTGAATTTTGGGGGCGACTTGTATGTGTTGGATCCCTGAACAAGTATAAAATGTATCTTCTGCCGGTGTTAGTGTATATTTTGTTATTAGGGTGTTTTTGCTCCCTGGCAGCAGCGCAACGCGCCGTTCGCTATTTGGAGGGCATTGGTAGACCTGATGGTATATGAACGCGCTCAGGAATATTTTGGGATTCCCACTTCTGATAATTGTGACACTTGCTATTGCGTTGATTATTTCAAATTTTACGGAACATGGAATGACGAATATCTAATGCGAAATAGATGCTCGTCATGAGTAATATTACTAACAAATGGTACTACAACTATTTTATTAAAAAAATAGCGCTTTCATGCGATAATTCACTCTATAATCTGGTCAAAGTAATAGTAGATTTATATCATTCCTATAGTTATAAAGAGAAGTTGTTGTTCTATTTTTTAGACTATCATTATCCTGAAATCAATCGAAATTAATAATCTTTAGTAGAAAGGACCTAACTGTATAACTTTTATCTTTAAGATATCTTCCATTTCATATCTCACTTTGTACGTTAATGCAACAGTATCCATATAAGTATATAATCATATTACAATAACGAATCTGTGCATTTTAAATCTCAAGCTAAAGTATTCAGTTTAATCTCGACACTATTAACTAAACATTCTATTATTTTTAGGTAATTCCGCTATGATGGGTCTGCAAGTTAATAAGCGCAAGTTCCACGTAGATAGCTACGACAGTGGACCACCAGCCGCCAAGAATTCTCGTCTGAATTGGCCACCACCAGCGGAGGATAGCATCGCAAAGCTGCAAGCAGTGGCGGTACCTGGCGAAGCCTGGACGCTACCGTCAGCACCTCAGAACCAGTACAACCCCAGCAGATCGGTTCTGGTAACCAGCATATTAGACGATAATTTCGAGGATGAAGAAGATGAACTCGATTATGATTATGAGGATGAACTCCCAATCCATCAACATTGGTTTCCTCCAGTAGTCCAGCAGCCTCAACAAACCATTCGGTGCGCCGAGAACGGAAAATCTTATTTGGAGCTCGGAGGTGCTAATTATGTAAGGCCGAATAGCAGGCAGTTTTACCGCGAAAGGAGAATGCGCATGATGAATCTATCCATGTGCAAATTGGCGAGGTTTAGGCAATGTCCGGATCCTCCGCTTAGGAGGTCAGTGTTAATCTGTAATACCTTGAGATCCATTGAACGTGAAATGGAAGATGAAGAACAACAACAAAATTCTTTCAATAACGTTTGTTGGCAAGGTAGTAATGATTCTGGCAGATCAACACCTTATCCAATGCCTACGCCACCTCCTGTGATTCAAAGCCAACCTGTTAATCAAGCGCCCGATTGTGATTCTGGCTACAGTGACGATGAATCAGGGAAATCTATAGACTGGGGTTCTGTGTTAAGTTTATCGGCATTAGATCCTATAGTACCTTCTGCAGAAGATGACTTTGCGGATCTATTACCTTCATGGGGTAGGATACCTAGTGAATTAACAGACTTAGATTCCCCACAACGAATACTTGTGCGAAGTTAGTGGTGGGTCAAATCAGTGTAGATAGTCTAGAACAATATACAAAACAAATTCTGTACATAATATATATTAAAGATTATATATGGGAGTAAAGTTGCCGGGTGCGGTGCTTGTTATAAGAAAATCATTTATTTTTATAAAGACATTATGGTTTTAAAAGCATCTGTGTGATTGAATGAGTTCAATGCAAAATGTGGTATAAAATTATTACCTCTTAATTATATTGTTATATATTTTATAATTTACACTTAAATGCAAAACTTAGAAAAATTTTAGTTTTAAATTGAATAAGCAAATTGTAAATAATGTGAATATTATTGATATTTAAGACAGGCAAACACAATTTCATAAATCTTATAAAAAATCAGGAGTAAATATTTTCTTTATGAAAAAGCAGTGAATTGAATAGAAAATAAGAAATTCAAAACTCTAGTCGTACCTAATACTAGTATAAATGATGAAATATATTATAAGGTGATAGAGTGTAGAAACTAACAGATATATTTGTTTAAAAAATTATAAAAAACGATTATACTTAAAAAATCACAAAACAAAAATAACAATGTCAAAATTTTATATTGGCAGAAATATAGGTACTTATGTAATTGACCAAACTGTTTTCAAATTTTTAATGTTCAAATTAGCACAATCAATACAGATGAATAAGGAAAGGAAATGTTTACAAAATTTATTAAATTATGAAGCAGTACCATCCAGAAGAATTTCTTAACACAATATTAAATGTTTGTGTTGATTATTTACAATAAAGTTATTATTATAAATCAAACCAATTATTATTTCATCAATAGTTTTCTATTTCCATCAGAGGGATTTATTAATAGTTTATTGCGCAGAAGGCATGTGACTAGTTATGAATAGATAATATTCTGGATATGAATAGCATTAATGGCTTGACCATTGCTGGCAACCAGGGGAATTATTTGAAAGATATCCAAGTTAGATTCTTATTTTAAAGGTCACTCAATTTATAATAGAATGAATTGTTTAAAATTTATTAAAGCAAATTAGCTATTGTTAACAATATCTGTGCAATATTGTTCCAATAGGACTTCATGCAATAGAACTACATAATTTATGTTTTTTAATAATTATAACAACGAAGTTAGTTTCGGAGTTAATTATTAAACCAGAGATTCATTATTGACAGATTTGATATAACAAAAAAAACTCAGAGCATTTTTTGCTATGTTTTTAGATTTTTTATAATAATATATTAAATGTAAGCGTATCGAAAGATTGTTTTTTAACTTGCCATATTAACTCTTTTGAGAAATTTAACATTGCAGAAAGATTCAAACATTGGATACAAGAATGTTGCTTTAGCACAACTTGTTTTTTATGCGTTTTATTTATTATTATTTTTACTGATATAAAAATGGTGCATTTATCAATTCAAATCTCCGCATAAGGTACGCCAACAAACCGACATGTCATCTATTGCCAACGTTGCGAAGCTAGAGGCAACCTTCACGTCAATTTGTCTGACAGCCACTTAGAATCATATAGAAATGGCAGGAGCAGTGTCTGTGTCAACTCTCAAATGGCTGTTTAGTGAGCATGCGAATTAGTGTTGAAATAACATGTGTTTTTAAAAAAATAGTTTCTAAAGATATGTGATATAATGATAATTAAGTGCAATGAGTGTTTTCGGTGACTTTCAACGCGTGTGGGTGCAGCGGTTCCCTGAAAGCTCGTTATCAGCAGCTTGGGAAGAGGATGTCAGAGCTAGTTTAGATAAACATAAACAAAAAGTAATTAGCTTAAGAGAAGAATTGGAAAAGGAGGAATTGTATGTTGAATATTTAGAAAGATTATTAAGCGATGTCGAAGAATTACGTTTGAGCAAAGAAAATGATGAACAAAATGCAACGGCGCAAACGCGAGATGTCGAGAAAAATGATAAGGGACCAGATATCATTCAGGTATGTAAATAAGGCAAATGTGTTTTATTTCTAAAAATAACATTTTCATTTTATTATATATTTTTGATGTGTTCTTGAAAATAATGACGCTTTTGCCGCTGTTTATCATTGGCCAAACAGATATATCTTGTATAATTAGATTATTGTTTACTTTTTCAATGTCACATTAGCTTACAAATAATTATACTTGTCTTACAAATTATTAAAAATGTTACACACACCATATATAATAATTTTATAAACTATTAAATTCCAATGCTAAATCCTTTTCCAAATAAGTTTCTTATAAGTCTTTCTAATACATTTACATCAGAAACTCCTATGAATTTTTATACTATTTTTAATACCTTTGATCTTACCTTACCTATGCCTTTATATTTTAAGTTTATATCAAAAATTATTCTTATTGACGTTATAATCATTATTATTCCAATTTATTCAATATATCAGTGATAAATTTTGATAACATCTATTTCGATAATGAAAATTAGTCACTGATACATACTTTATTGCACAACTTTCAATATTTTCAATGTCGTCTCTGCAATTTAAAATAAATTTATCTTGCATCACACGAGAAAGTAACTATATATTCGCAATTATATACATATACACACACACATATATATATATATATATATATATATATATATATATATAATATATATATATATATATATATATAATTTTTGGAACCAACTTTTCAAATAATACTTGCAATTATTCACTCTGTACGTTTTGACGATGTATGTGTATTATCATTCAGCAGTTCTAAAAAAAATATACAATAATTTGAACATCTTTACAAAAAAAATATACTAAAAATAATTTTAGTAATTTTTTGTTCAAAAATAATATACATTTCATACCAGGAAGTACACAAATAAAAATAAACAATGGTTAATATTGTAAAATTAATTTATATATCTTCAACATGTTTAATTCTATATGTTCTTCCTGGTATAGTTCTTATAAAAATGTTTTAACATTTCTTAGAACTGCTGAATGATGAAACAGATACAGTGCCGAAACGTGCAGAATAAATAATTTTAAGTATTTTGATGAATAATTTTATTTTGGCTTCAAAAACCTTGGAACATAAATACATATACAATACAAAATATAAAATATTATAAGAGCTGTCCCGGCAACGACCCTTTGCCGGGACAGCTAGTATAAATATATATATATATATATATATATATATATAT